CATTTTACTTATTCTGACGAAATGAAGAATTGGTTAATATTTTGGGAAGGCAGGTCCAGCTGTTTCGGAGGTATAGAGGAAAATGTGAAGAAATGATATTTGATGGTCTAAAATGATCGATAGAAATATGCACATCAACTTATCAAATATTTTATAGAGATTTTAAAGATGAGTACTAATTTTGTGACGATTTTTTTGAATTCCTTACCAAGATTTTTAGAAAATATTTAAAACCATTTTTATTAATCATTGATAAATATTTATTGATATTTGTTTTGCTCAAATATTTAATTTTGGTACGGGAAGTTCCAGCAATTTGCCTTAATGCACGATGCCATGCACCCCATTAGTTGGTTTTTAATTTTTTATTTATTATTCAATAGACCATCAGAAGACAACGTTTCTATAAGCCTAAAATGTGTTAATGTTATATTTGGCGTCGTTTTTAACTAAAATTTAATATTTAAAACTGTTTTTATTAATCTTGATGAATATTTATTGATATTTGTTTGCTCAAATATTTAATTTTGGTACGGGAAGTTCCTGCAATTTGCACTTAAGGCATGATGCCATGCACCCCACTAGTTGGTTTTTAATTTAACCTTTTATAAAGAAGACGAAGTAATTGCATTGATAAATTTCCCATGATTCACTGTGTAACCAAATCGGTTCTAAGGTTTCTTATCTATTAGCGTATGTAAACGCAGAAGCTTCAACAACGTCCTAGCATCTTTTGACTTAATATTGACTCGGCTTAGTTAGTGTAGGTCAAACGTGTTTATTGTGCTTCTGGATTCGTAACTCTTTTGGATTTGATCTTGAATATTGTTTAGACAGATTACATTAAAAGCTATTGTTAGTATTCAACCTATTCAACGTCGATTTTTCCTAAATAGACAAGCCCTTTTTTAAATAGATCATGGCCATTATCTTGCATCCGAAAATTCTTTTGTTTGCGTACCTGAAATTTTGTCTATATATGTGCGGTAGTTGCTTTTTTCTAAAATTTAAAGAGGCAGAGTTATTAAATTGTAACTAAAGCATGAATTGTTTATTTAATTTTAAAGTATATATATATTATATTTTAAAGATTATTAAAAGGACAGATAGAGTGTAGTGTAAGGCGGGGCTTCAAGGTCCGAGGGTAAAAATGTTTGCTATATCTCAGAAACAAGTAAAGTTAGATATTTTGTAACAACAATATTTGAAAGTAGAGGGCAAAAAATGTGTAACCAGCCTTCGACTTAAAATCGGCAACGAGATAAACGGACATTATCCAGTATATATTGTTAAATTTGTATCGAAAGTTTTTTTGTGGCTAGTGTTTTTGCTGAGCACGGTTGTTTAATCTGTGATAGGAAAACACAATTTTTAAGTATACTCCATCTAATTCTTTTATAAGATGTATAGTTATTTATAAGTTAGATTTAATAGTTTCTATAATCTCTAGAATAATGTGGTTGGTGCAAGAAGAATCACCTAAATCTTCATACTGACGAAGCGTAAACAATAAGAAGCTAGTAAATATAAACGTGAAATAAGTTAAAAAACAATTTTACAAAAGATAAATGAAACTAATGGTTTATAGCATCGTGCCTTAAGGCAAATTGCTAGAACTTCCCGTACCGTAACGAAATATTTGAGGAATATCAAAAGCTTTTAAACAGATTACTATAAATACTATAATATTGTCTAATATTCATAAGATTTTTTCTGAGGTATGCCACAATGTTCAGAAACCTCTGAAACGTGAAGATATGCAAAAATTTTTATCTTCGATTTTTGGCCCATTACTATAACTTACACTATGGGAAGTTAATTATTAGTTATTCTAACTTTTATGAGGATTTCTTCTGATAATACATATTCTATATGAAGGTTGTATCCAATGCGATCTTCATAATAAAAATGGGTCGATAAGATGTGTATTTCAAGTTGTATTCATTTTCTCTGTAATCATGATGAATTAAACAGAAATACCTACCAAAGTAAGGTTTATAATAGTAGCAAGAGTTGATAAATTTTTTAGTTCATCATATTTAAAAATTCATATTTACATTAGGATTTTTAATTCTGTTGTTTAACAAAATTCTTTGAATTGCATCGCATTAGTTAAATAAGTAATAAAATAGCTAATAATTAATTAAAGTATATTAAACCTATAAAATATTGACTTAAGCGCTATTATAATATTATTATACCGATGGCTTGTAAAATAAATAAATAAATAAATAAATAAATAAATAATGTAACTATTATTCCCCGAAACCTTTTTTAATTGAAAACCTCCTTTAGGGAGCAAAATAGCAAAAAACATAGTTATACAATTACGAATTAGCTGGGAATTTTATTGAACATAGATAGTTGTTTGTTCGATAAGTTAGTTGTTTTGGTTTTCACAGTATAATTGCTAAGTCAAATTGGACTTTTGTGGCCTGCCTTACCCTTTATTATTGAAAAAATAATGATAATTATTTTTAGATGAAAGAACATCATAAAAAGTTCTTTTCTATTGAAAGAACTTGTTACAGCCCACAGTTGATTTGTTTCTCATAATTCCACTTTTTCTAATAATTAAAATATTATATATTGATATTATTTTTGAAATAAATGCTAAAAAAGTAAAAAGTTGAAGTTGCGTCATCAAAAACACTTCAATTTACGTTCAAGTATATTTTATGCTTGAATGTATCATATTACGGAATTTGTACGCGCAACTGGACCATAATATTGATAATACCGAGTCAACGTTATATAATATGTAAAAGTATGCTTCTTCACGATGTTTTCTGCCATCGAAGGAAAATTGCTCGAAACGAGTAAATATGGAATTACTTTGAATGTTAATACGAGTATATGAAATTTTGGGGTAAAATAGGCCGGTGTTACTCATACAAAATGGTACCAAAGACTGCCAAAATGCCATGTGGTTGCTGTACAGTCAGGCGTTTTAGATAGAAAACCTAACCTAGAAAACCCACGAATGTAAAAAAAAACAATGTTATCATAACTGCATCTTTGTGATATGGCACGTGAGTGAAGTTGCATTTTAAAATTCCTAATCACACAGCAACTAGATGGCATTTTGACAGTATTCAGTACCATTTTGTATGAGAAGCACTACATAACATTGGTTTATTTTACGATAGAAATGGCCTTTTTGGATTCATGAAGCTGAATGCAGGTGAAATGCACCTGCAAATTTATCTTAACTTTCAACTCAATTATTACGCAATTATATGTTATGTTTTTGTACTTGTAATTTATTTATACTTTTGACACTTGTGTTTAATAGTTAAACATTAATAATTTTGCATTTATGGTTGAGCATATTTAAAAATACTCTTTTATGAAGAATATCCTTAAGGATTGTATTTTTCGAAATCGTAACATTAATTTTATAAGAAGTCATTATAGTATTTAACTGGGGTATATTTATTTCACATGTGGTTCTTATCATAGTTTTGCTGATTATTTTTACTGATAATGGGAATTATTACTGATAAAATATTATTGCTGATAAATATAATAAAGTACCTTTCAAAATAATTAGGGCTGAGTAATGTACAACATTGAACCTGAATTTGTTCGTTTATTAATTATTGATATTATTTTTGATTCATGATGCAACGCGTTATAGTCATAAACTCGAACACTGGCATCGTGCGTTAAGCAAATTGGTTTATGGCATCGTGCCTTAAGCAAATTGCTGGAACTTCCTTTACCATAGTGAAATATTCGAATAATTTTAAATTCAGTTTTTAGCCTGAATTGAAATTCAAATCTGAATATCCGAATTTAGTTATTAAAAAAATGGATTTTTTTTCTGGAATTTTAAAAATAGTACTCCAAAAACGAATCATTTATTCGCACTGTCAACACAAGCAAAATGTATTTGGAAATATATGACCCGTTCTTTTAATAACTGCTATTTTTTGCACTTTTTGCTCTGCATCTCCAAAACGCCTGGAACTACCTTTGCAGAAAACTAATCAAGCACGTCTTTCCGTCCAGACGAACCGAATATTTTTCTAATCATTCCAATCGGATGCGCGGTTCTCGCAAAAAACGAGTTTTTATTTTCTGCACTTTTGGTTCCGTATCTCTGAAACGGCTGAACCTGTCTTTGCCAAAACCTAATCAGTACATCTCTCTATCAATAGGAATCGACTGTTTTTTGAATCATTCAAATCGGTTGATCCGTGCTCCCGAAATCGTGGACGAAAATTTGTATCCACACAAACATACACACATCCATATTTTCTAAGGTATGAGAAAACGTTCAGAAATCTCTGGAAGGTAAAGATACGAATATGAAAATTTTCATTTTCAATTTTGGGACTATTGCTATAACTTACCTTACGGTAAATTAATAATAATTAGGAGTTGTGATCAAAGAGACGTTTTTGAATTTTAAATCCATTAAAGCGAATATCTAATTTAGTAATTTTCATTAATTATTATGAATTCTGCTAAAATGTTTGAAATTTAATTTCTAAACATTCAATATATAACAAAAGCATTAGGCATATAAATATATATAGCTGTTTAATTTTCTCAAACTTTGTTCTGCAACATAAAATTTTGAAATTACCTGCAAATTAAAATATTCACATATAAATTTTATTTCTCCGAGTTTTCCGAGTGCCCCGAATGTGCGGACCCTGGCCATGAGTGTGAAAATATTTTCAAGCAATCGAACATAAGATTGCATTGAAAAAATTCTGATAATCTTAATAAATCAGTATGCGCCGATTATCGCTGTAAGACGCACATATCATTAGCTCATTCTTTAACTGAAAAAAAAACATGAATTAAGCTGACTAAATTTGGGTCAGGCGCGGTTTAAATATTTTTAATTATGTATTAAATTATTTGGTTGCTATAGAATTAATTCAGTGCTTGTATTTATTACTCGTGTTAAATATCAAACGTGTTTTAAATCGTGTTATTTATCAATCCTTTTCAAAACTATTTCAGAAATAAGACTTTTACAAAGTGCTATGTCTGTTAGCCAAAAGTGTTTTAATAATATATGTATTATATAATATACATATAACATAATCGGAAACGTGTATTTTCAAAGACGTGAGTTGTCAAGAAAGGAACATTAGCTACTACCTGTTGCGAAATTAATTTTATTACCATGTCTGAACGGTTCCGGGTTACTCGCTCCAGCGGTTCCGGAAACTTGCCAGGATTTGATGAGGAAAATGGCCCAATGGACGCTTTAGGAAAATTGCTGCCTGATAGAAACGGTGAGTGAGTTTTCATTTAATTAGTCTATGTGCACAAATATTTATAGAAATAAATTCTATCATATATTTGCTCTGCAAGCACTACAAATGTATCGATACTTGATGATATAAAACTACATTATGAATCTAATTTGATGAATGGAAACTTAGACGTTTTCAATGATGAATAAATGTAAGCGAAATACATTGATTATTCGAATCATTATAGGTACCAGTGTCGCGTTTTCATTCATAATATTTACGATTTATTACCACGATGGTAATCGATCTCAAAAATGAAGATAAATCTGGTAAATACCAATTATTGCATTCGTTGATTAGATAAACATTTTTGTATCGGTCATTGTTTAAGAAAATGCTTATTTATATTTTTGTTGTTTTTTGAACCTTTCATTATTTTAATATTTGGGCGAAATGAATAGTTTATCCGAATAAATTTAAAGCAATATAATGTTATAAAAAATGCCTACAAGAAAAATTTATACTCACTATTATGGAACGCCGAGACTCACAAAAAATACGAGATGTTCCAATCAAAGTGAGCTTTCGGAAAAGTTTTTCTGAGCACATTAACATTTATTTTACTCTATATATCATATATACCTACTCTATGTATACACTTTATATTATATTATATACATACACACACACACATATATATATATTATATATATATATATATACTAGCAAACCCAACGAACTCCGTTTCGCCACCAGATGGTTTCGTGAGAAAGATGAAGAAATTATTTGTTTGTTTTATATTTGAAAAGGAAAAATTTGATTTTATTATACAACAGTAATGAATTCATTTCGATTACAAAAATGAAGTGTTTTTTAGTTGAATTTCTCTAAGTAAATGAAAGTGAATCCGCAAATTATCCGTTTCATTGAAGTGCTCTTTGGTAAACCACATTTTTTGTTTTTTGGTCTGATGTTAACACAAACAAAGCGGATGGTTTTCCAACTCGTGAACAGGCAACGTATAACTGCCCCTAATATTTGTAACCTTTATTTCAATATCTAAATCTATCAAAAATGCTATGATACATAGCCTAGAATTATACTTTTATTAGGCATACTTTTTAAAGAAATTAAAATAAGTTTTTCATGCGCTCTAAATTCGTTCAACAACTGGCTAACATTTCTGAAAAACAGTAATTTGTATTAAAAGTAACTACTGCCCTGTAACTATTAACTTTAACCCCTTAACTTACAATTTAGATTCGAAAATGTTGGGCCAAAGTTGTTCAAGTTGGCGCGGCGTTGTGACTATTTTCCCTCATAGTGTACGGTTTATCACAAACATAAAAATAATTTTATGTTTTATAGTTTCGTAGGAATAAATATTTTATAATACTTTTGTTCACCAAACCGGCCCATGCCCGAAATACGTAATATTTGCTTCTGTCTCGAATATCGTACGCGGGCAATGCCCGTAATATTCACTTTTGGCCTAGCAATCGCACGCGGGCTCTGCTTGTCATTTTAAGTTAAGGGATTAAAAATATTCGATATCATTTTAGATTATAACAATTTTATTTGAATTGAGGGAATCCGAATGACCATTAATTATGAAGTATTAATGCAAAATGTATTCTGTTTTCTTTGCATAATTTTTTTTATCTCAAATAAAGACGCTCGTCTTTTGCGGTCATATTTAGACTAAACATGGATATCACCTGTTAATAATATTAAAAATTGTAATCTTTCTTATTATGAATATGCTTATCATTAGAGCGACGCGTCGCTTGGATTTATCTGGATCTAATTTTTCTGATTGAAATGATATCTGACAATGTACATACTCTATTCAATTCTCGAAACTGTGTTTACTTTAGATTATATTGGATCAGATTTACGCTAGATATGCACTCTTTGTTTTTTTTTTCATTCTAATTTTCATTATATTTTTGGCATATTTGAAGTTTTATTTGTAGTTGATATTACTCGAATCTTGAAAAATAGAGTAATAGATATTGAAAAGCTGGGTAAAACTTGCATAGTTCCATATTTCATTTTCACTAATTCTTATCTTATAATAATTACTATCACGGATAGATAAATTAAAACATTAAAATTCTAATAATCAACCATAGTGCGGTTTTATATTTCTGATGCACACTTCTATTGCCACCAGTTAATAAATATTCCCTCAATTAATTTTTTATTCGGTTTTCGAACAGATAACATTACTAAGTTTCATAATTCTTTGTAATATTTGATACTTCTTCTCCACTACGTCAGTTTTTAGAAGTCAAAGCTATTCTTGGATTTATATCTAACCAATTTGATCAGAAGCTCTTGACAATCTTTCTTTGTAAGTGATTATATATTCGTATTTCAGCAATGCTTGGAAAGGCTATTTCTTCTTCTTCGAAACATATTATGTTCTATATTATCTGCTGAAAATTGATATCACTACTGCTTCATAACAAGTTGTTTACATCCATGAGCAATCATAATGATTCTCTCAGATAATCGAAACATGATCAACATAATATCGATAGCCAAAATAACACATACTTATTTGATCGTGGGACTTTTTGTTTAGGCTAATTACCGAAACATATCAATTTACATGTGATACACGATTTGATATGATTGATAAACTACTTCACAATGATACCAACCGGGTGGTGTCTTACTGTAAGATAAGAGTTTATGGGAATATGAGTCGAATGAAAGCTTTTGTAATACCCATAGCCAGTTTTCCTTTTGTTTTTCGAGACTTGTTTTATGAATTCCTCGAATATCAGTTGAAGAAAAAATAATTATTTGAACTTTTATTGTTTTTGGCATAATTATTACTGAACTCTAGTTGATATTAATTATATAATAAAATTGTCGCAAAAACCACAAACAATATAATTAAGGACATAAATGTAACAATTAATTTCATCTATATACTTAATGAAATAAAACATTTAAACAATTCAATTCAAATATTTTTATATAGATGTATATATTGGATATTATATAGAGTATAATACAATATAATTGAGTACATATTTTTCTACCCAATGGTATAATGCATTTCCAACATTTGTTTCTATTGCGATAAATAAAAATAATTGAAATAACAAGAAGATACAAGATGAACTTGTAACAAAAAAATAAGAACTTCTAGTAGTAAACATTTAAACACTAAACTTTATTTTACTCTGAATAACATCATTAGTCCAGTCATTATAGTAAGTTCACATCGGAATTTGAGATACCCAGCTGTAAGTCTGTGAATACTTGTATATTGACACCCTAAAGTTGTCTCGAAACCTACATATGGTAATTACACCCTACTATATGTAGGTTTTGAGACAACTTTAGAGTGTCAATATACAAGTATTTACAGACTTACAGCTGGGTATCTCGAATTCCGAGATTCTTACCTAATTTAAGCTTACATGAGTGGACTGCATCATTATAACTCACAAATCAGTAATAAATTTTTTGTGTTTGATGAAAGCCTTTTTTGAGAGGTTTTTTTATTGCAAACTCACATTTAGTAAATATTTAGTTTTATTTTAATTTAAAAATTTTCACTACATTATTATGCTTTTTATAGTTTAATTAGTCAGTACAATTAGCTATGTGCAGCAATAGGCGATTTTACAATATGATTTATTTGAATTTTTATTTGTATTAAAGTTTTATATAATGTGAATGATCTTAAACTATTTGTTTCTTTTTGCAATTTCCATTTTTTTAAATTCAAATATGAATCTGCACAATGTCGAAGTAATTAATTCCTTAAAATGGTATTACAAAAGTAAGACATATTTCATACTATTTTACTATATTCTTTCTATCAACATCTATTAATAGATCATATTCCAAATTTAATTATTCGAATTAAAAATAGAGAGTATAACTGTACCTATACTCTGGCGATTTTGTACGAGAATTATTTACTTGAACGAAGCAATTGATTGTTAAAATTAGAATTACTTTGTATGATACATTAATAATACCTCATATATATATATATATATATATATATATATATATATATATATGAGATTATCATATATATATATATATATATATATATATATATATATATATGATAATCTCAGTTCTAACAACATTAATTCTCCCATAGCTGTAATGCAATACTTGCTAATTATAAGCCAGATCTTCTTAACTTTCAATAAGATAACCATTGTGAAATTTGAATCCATCATAATTAGCACATTAATGAGGACATTAAACAATATTACAAACCAACCGAAAAATTCAATATTATTTCTTTTTAACTGAACTGGAATCAGAACTGGTATACATAGTATAAACTATAAACTATTATGAACGAGGATTATATATAGGTTTATTAGTTTAACGAACGCTATTGAAAGGCAAGTCAAAGGTTCTTTTTACTGGGATTTATATTTTACTTAATTACTAGATTAACGGTCGTCCTTTATAATTGTGTCATAAAACTTTATTTTTATTTGAAAATAAATTCTGGTCCATATTTTAAAAATATTAATGAAACAAAATATCTAAATTTTAATAACCAAAAATCATAGTAAGATTCATGCGGGAATTCTTGATAAGTGTATAAATGTATAATTTTTTTTTTAACAGCTCATATTGAAGGGAAGGGGTATATGGGATATACCCGAAATGTTTGAATAAGTATTGAAAAGTTAGATGTTTTTAGTTCAGAGGAAGCTTTTAGTTCAGAAAAGAATCGGCTCTGTTGGTAATAAAGGTAGATAAGCGTTTGTGAATTTAAGATGACTCAACTCTTTTGTATGATAACAGAATCTCATACTATAGCACGTCATCCCGACATCGTCCCGTTTTTATTATTAACTTATGTTAGAATAATATTTGTCAAAATTTTATTACTTCTTGAATATACTTCATGACATCAGATAGTGTGTTTTCTTTAAATTTCTTTATAACATTATATAGTGCGTTCATATTTTCTTTAAATTATTTTATGACTTTATTTATACAAATAATTTCAATGAAAATTTGTATTTGGGTCATAGGGA